GCTCAGGGAGGGCGGTGCGTACGCACGGCTGGGGGCGTGGCCGGGGCTCAGGGAGGGCGGTTTGAAGACTGAGCGCCGAGCAGTCGAGCCTGCGCAGGCGCAGACTGGGTGAGGTGAGTGTAGTGCCGTCGGTCGGGATCTCTTCGCCGCGCCGCCATCTCTCGAGCCCACTGATCCCACCAGGTACCATGGTTACGGGAAGCCCAGCAGGAGCGAACACTTGGTCTGGGGAGTCCGGCCACAGTGTTAAAAGCCCCTTTTCTGCACCCAGGTTCCGCGGGACCGCCCTTCTAGGCGTATCCCGATGATTGCGCTCCTCCTTCAGGGGCTCTGCAATGTCCTCGGGCTTGTGCTCCGACAGGGACATCGCCCCCGGCCTTTCCCCTCCCCGCCGCCCCATCTCGTGAGGTCATCCGGGCCTCCCCCCCAGAACCCAGGGCGTCCTGCCAGGGGGCTTCGTGGCCCCAGGCCTTCCACCAGTCAGACCCGCTCGGACCCCTCCACCTGCCTCCTGGCGCTCTGGTGCCCCCGACCCACCGTCGCCCAGGGCAGAGGTTCGGTCCCAGAGAGGCCACCAGGTGGAGCAGGACATCCCCGTGCCTGCACCTCCTGTCCGCTCACAGGCCCAAACCACGGTCTGGGGAGCGCTGGTGGGTTGGTGGAGGAATTGCACTGCCAGCGTAGAGGTGGTTCGAATCCCCCAACGGCCTTGCGGAAGAAAGATGGGGGTGTCTCCTCCCGTGCAGTTTACTGCTTCTGAAAACCCGTTCCATCTCGATGGTGCCCAACAACAGACCTCGTCGCGGGTGTTAGAACTGGTCTTCCCGTTGAGTCTTCTGTGGTGGTGAGAGTTGGGACTCACTGAATGCCAGCTCCTTAACCAGTCACCCCGACCTGGGTGCATTCCGCGTGGCCTGACACCCCGAGACCTGGTCTTGCACCTGCATAGCTCCCATGAGCCAAACGCTGGGGCTCCGTTCTGATTCCTCACTAGCTTTCACCCCATCTCAGCTCTTGGAAGGTCCAGAGCCAGCGTGGGATCACGGCACTGTCCTGACCCCAGTCTTGGGTTGCTGTGTTGCTGTCTCAGCACCCACTGCTGACCCTGTCTGCCCTGTTCTCAGTGTCAGTCCGGCTCCTGCCTTTTCCTGACTTTGGCATCTTTCTCCAGGGATCCCCTAGACCCAGGGTAACACCAAGTTGGCGACTCACCCCCCTAACTCACTGCTCCCGCCCAGGACTCCAGCATGTTCCACGGGATCCCAGCCACCCCAGGCCTGGGAGGTGAGTGTGGCAGAGCTGTCTGACCCCAGATGCAGGCGGGCTGAGGGGGCTGAGGCAGTCAGCCTGCGTTGACATGTGGCCAGCGCCCTCTGCACTGAGCAGGTGGACCTTTAGTTTGGCTGGAACCTTGGCATCCTGGTCACAAAGCCTGCGGTGGCCCAGGCCTGACGGTCACAGAGGGCATGAGGTCTGCAGGTGCTGAGTTATAGTACCTGCTGTAAGCCGAGGTGCTGAGGACCAGCAGCCAAATGGGGAGTCCCTTCCTGCCTGGTTCCCCCCACAAGATGGGGCCCAGGGTTCCAGCTCCAGAGTCACGGCCCTGCTGAGCAGGGCACAGGGAGGGTGAGTGGGGACATATGTGCCTCCCAGTGACGCCTGCTCTGTTGTAGCTCCAGGGAATAAACCGGAGCTCTACGAGGTGAGTGACTCCACAGCCCACATCCCGGCCCGGCCAGCTGAGGTACTGGGCTTAACGCGCATCTTCCTGACAGGAAGTCAAGCTGTACAAGAACGCCCGGGAGCGAGAGAAGTGAGTCCATGCCCCATGCTCCCACCTCGAGGTCTGAGGAAACTCCTTGGGGCCTCTGCTGGGTGGGTGGCAGCACCGTCTGTCCCTGGCAGGCTCTGACAGGCTGCATCACCAGGTATGACAACATGGCGGAGCTCTTTGCGGTGGTGAAGACCATGCAGGCCCTCGAGAAGGCCTACATCAAAGACTGCGTCACCCCCAACGAGTGAGTCTGCCTGCACCCGCCGTCTGCTCTTGCTACCAGTCACAGGCCCAGATCCCAGGGCAGGGTGGGCTTCTGCCGTCTTCCTGGGGGTCCTGGCCTGTGGAAGGGGGGAGCCCAGAAGAAGGATGGGCTTCTGTTGTGCTCCTTGGAGTCCTGTCCTACAAGGGGGTGACTCAGGAGGGGTGGGCCTTAACTATGCTCCTGGGGCCCTGGCCTTGGGGGACATCCCGGGAGGGGGTGGGTTTTCATTGTGCTTACAGTGGGGGAACTTCATCTGTGAGTGGCTGACAGGCAGACACCAGGAGGTACACAGTAGCCATTCAAGACTTGTCTGGCATGGCTGACAACCAAATCTGTCAGCTGACCACCTCATCTATCAGTATGGCTAGGCTGAGGGCCAGATGGCAGTGGGAATACGAGTGGTCAGACCTACAAGGCGCCCAGGGTGGGTCGTTCAGGCCCTTGTTCCACAGGCACTTTCTCACCAGCTGTGCAAGCCCGTTGGCTGACCGAGGCTTCTCAGGGCCTTTCTGCAGTCTGTGGGCCCAGCGGTTCAGCAGAAAGTGTGGTCTGACCAGGCATGGGCTGACACAGCCCTGGCTCCCCAGGTACACAGCTGCCTGCTCCCGGCTCCTGGTCCAGTACAAGGCTGCTTTCCGGCAGGTGCAGGGCTCCGAGATCAGCTCCATCGATGAGTTCTGCCGCAAGTTCCGTGTGAGCTTTTGTCCCTCTGCGCCACCGGGGGTGGTCCAGTGTGTGGTCGGGGTAGGGGACAGGGTTGCCACACACTGGAGCACCGTGTCTATGAAACCAGACACCCATGCCACCCTCCTTACAGCTGGACTGCCCGCTGGCCATGGAGAGAATCAAGGAGGACCGTCCCATCACCATCAAGGATGACAAGGGCAACCTGAATCGCTGCATTGCTGATGTCGTCTCGGTGGGCGGTGGGGGTCCCAGCATCTTTAGCTGGTGGGGACTGACTCATGGGGCAGGGTCGCTCACTTATCCACAGCCTGATAGGGACAAGGAGGCATCTGCCTGCCTCCCTCCAGTATTGCCCCTGGGGGCTCTAGAGTGCTGTGGCTGGGACACCGTGCCTGCAGCGCCACACAGGGCAGGAGCTCAGCTGTCTAGGTGCCAGGGGAGGGGCTCAGGAACCCGGGGATCTTTGTGGTGGGTATGAAGTGGCATGAGAGAGGAGCCTGAGACCTTACTCACACCCCCCTCCCCCAGCTCTTTATCACAGTGATGGACAAGCTGCGGCTGGAGATCCGAGCTATGGACGAGGTGAGGCCTAGGTGGGGGCTGAGTGGGAGCCTGGGGGCAGGGACAAGGTCCAGCAGAGGTGTGTGCTGACAGATCCAGCCTGACCTGCGGGAGCTCATGGAGACCATGCACCGGATGAGCCACCTGCCTCCCGACTTTGAGGGCCGTCAGACAGTCAGCCAGTGGTGAGTGTGGTCTTCCATGTTCCCTCATCTCTGCTCCAGTGCCCCCACCCCACGACTGTCCTTCTGGTGCCCCTTACCTCACCCCACTACATCCCTCCAGGGACCAGAGTCACTTCACCCTTACCACATCCACAGGGGCCCTTCATGCATCCCCACTCCACTGCTATTGCCCCAGGTGATCCCCACCTCCACCTCTACCCCTCAGGGGCCCTTCACACACACACACGCACATGCACACACACGCACACCTGCAGAGGCCCCCTACCCCTACCCTCCAGGGCCCACTCACCCCTACCCCCCAACAGACCCCTAGAGGGCCTTCAGCACTCTCCCTCAGGGGCCCTTCGCTTGCACCCCCAGGCTGCAGACTCTGAGCGGCATGTCGGCATCTGACGAGCTGGACGACTCCCAGGTGCGCCAGATGCTGTTTGACCTGGAGTCGGCCTACAATGCCTTCAACCGCTTCCTGCACTCCTGAGGCTGCTGCGCCCAGTCCTCTTGACACCTGCTCTGCCGAGGGCCATTCCCTCACAAGTATTCCTGCATGTCTCCCGTGTCCAGTAGCTCCCAGGTGTCTGCCCTTGGCCTTAGGACTTGGAGAGTGTTGTCTCTCTCTGAATCCCCTCTTTACAATAAAGATGCTGTCCAGCTCCTGTTTGCTCTGGCCTCCAGACGGCAGTCCTATGTGATACTGCCCATTGGGCCTAAGAATGGGCTCTGAGCACAAGTCCTCTCTCTCTCCATCCAGTGCTGGTCTCCATCATCATTTCTTTTGTGTGGCCTACATGGATCGGGTAGTCCTGGCACCCACTCAAGGTGGCAAGCTTGGCTGGAGAAGAGCCTCCCAATGGGTGGCAAGTGTCCCACACAATGGCCAGGTGTGACTTCAATCCAGGGACAGAGACAGCTGCTAGTCACACACCTTACTCCTATCCCTAACCCACATTCCTCACTTCATCCTGAGGGTATATTCGTGGGAGAGTGTCCTGGCACCTGTGGTGGACCTGGCTGCCTGGGCCTTTGGGCCCCCTGTGCTGGCCCATCCTTAAGACCATGGCTCATGAGGACACCCCTGTAATCCCTTCTGCCCATCTTCAGAGCGACTCAGAAGCTTGGTGCCCTGTGTCCAGGGCCGGGGGTTCTCATTCACAAGAGGAGGCAGGAGAGAGAGCAGGCCCCTCCCCTTTGAGTGGATGAAGCAGCTGTGAGATGTGTCACAGCTGGACCAGGAGATGCCAGGCAGTGAACACAATGTGCCTCATGCTCCTGGACGTGAACCAGAGTCAGAGGGTTAGGGGAGTGCTGGCTTAGTGGTGTTAGCTAGAGTTCTCAAGCTGCTAACTGAAGAGCCAGCTAATCCACCAGCCACTTCTCAGGAAAGAGATGACCAGTTTCTAGAAGACGTCCAGCCTTGTGATCCCTTCCATGTCAGGGCTCAGCAGCCAGGGACTAGGCCAAAGGCTGATACTGGGCAGGAATTGTAAGTGGGGCTGGCAGGCCACTGGACTAGCAGAGCCCAGGGTCCATGGGGAGGACTACGGCCTTTACTTGGGGTGAGTCTGGAAGTGAGGCTGTTGCTATGCTGCTGGGGAAGAGACTGCAGAAAGGAAGAGTAGGGTGCTGGTGTCTGGAGACAGGTGAGCCTATCCTAGTCATGGTATTTTCAGTTGCTTCTAATGCGTCTGAAAATGAGACAGTGACTAACAGAAGAATCAATGCCTTTGAAAGGTAATGTTAGAGAAAAGGAGTTAATATTCTACAAACTGCCAAAAGTACAGGTCGATCTGGGAGGAAGTGGAACCAGGGTGTTCCTTAGAAACAAAGATGATGAAGCTTCACCTCACATACTTTGGGCCTCTTGTCAGGAGGGAGAAGTATTTGGAAAAAGACATCTTGCTTGATAAGGTGGATCAAAGAGGGGAAGACCCTGGATAGAGAAGCTGTGATATCTTTGTTGTTGTTTGATGCCGTCAAGTTGTAGATGACTCATAGCGACCCTATGAATGAATGGCCTGAGCACTGTTCGTACATAGAGTTTCCAGAGGCAAACCATTTCAGAAGTGGATGCCGCTCCTGCTTCCAGGCTTGATTTAGTCGGGAAGCTCCAGCCACCACTGTCCACCATGGGCGCCCATTACCACGACTGGCACATCACTGTCACAGTCTTCAGCATCACAGCAACCACAAGTTATCTCTGTACACAATGGAATACTACACTGCATTGAAAAACAAGGAACTCATGCAATATTAATCAAAATGGGTGACCCTGGAGGACATTATGCTAAGTGAAGTATCTCAGTCACAAAAGGACAAATACTGCATGGTGCCACTGTTGTAAAACAGGACTGACCTCGGGGTTGGGGGGAGACTGAGAAAGATGGGTTCAATAATGTATTCTGCATTGAAACAGATGAGGGAGTTGTTATGTGCCATCGAGTCACTTGCAACTCAGCGATGCTATGTACAACAGCCCTAAACTCCGCTCTGTCCTGTGCCAGTCGCACTGTCTCTGACACACCCATCCCGATTACCCCAGTCACTGAATCAATCCACCTCATAGAGGGCCTTCCCCTTCTTGCACTGTCCCTCCACCCTCCCAAGCATGATGTCCTTCTCCAAGGACCGGTCTCTCCTCACTACATGTCCAAAGTAAGTTAGACGGAGCCTCAGAATCCTTGCCTCCAAGGAGCCACTCGGTTTAGCCCTTTCCAGGACAAATCTGTTTTCCTAGCAGTCCATGGTATTCTCAATACTCTTCTCCAGCACCACAGCTCAAAGGCATCAATTCTCCTTCTATCCTCCTTGGTCATTGTCCAACTCTCTGATGCATAACAAGTGATTGCGAAGACCATGGCCTGTATCAAATGCACCTTAGTCTCCAGGGAGACACCATTGCTCTTCAGTACTCTGGAGAGGTTCCTAACAGCAGACTTTCCCACAGCAATGCGTTTTTTAATTTCCTGGCTACTGGTGCCAAGAGTGTTGACTGTGGAGCCAAGCAAACTAAAGCTGTGTACAATCTCAGTCTCTTCACCATCCATCCTGAGGCTGCCAATTGGTCCAGTGGTGAGAATCTTTGTCTTCTTGACATTGAGTCTCAATCCATATTGGAGGCTGCAGTTCTTGACACTCTGCAGCAGGCGCTTCAGGTCCTCTTCAGTTTCAGCAAGCAGGGTTGTGTCATCTGCATAACGCAGATTGTTGATAAACCGTCCCCCAATCTTGACCCCACATTTCTCCTCATAGAGCCCAGCCTCCCAGATAATCTGTTCTGCATACAGGTTGAAAAGGTATGGAGATAGGATAAATCCCTGGCGTACGCCCTTCCCAATTTTGAACCATGCAGTGTTCCCTTGCTCTGTTCTGACGACTGCCTCCTGGTCCAAGTATAGGTTTCGCATTAGAACGATCAAGTGTTCTGGGGTGAGGGAGAGAACTGTTTAAAAGGGATATGTGATTAGGTATTTTTGTCATGACGTGAATCCAGAGCAAAGATTGCATGGTGGAGTGGACCCGGGGGCAGAGACTGTAAAAACAATGAGAGAATTTTACTTTTCCAAGAGGGGAGTGTACTGGAGAGGAGGGTTGGGAGGGGAGAAAAGTGGAAGACTGAATGAATGGAAATCCAAAGTCTCTTTAAATTTTCATTGAAATTAATAATAATTTTTTTAAATAAAGGGAAGACCTTCAGCAGTAACTAACAATGGGCTCAAGTATATCAGACCTGAGGATGGCACAGATAAGGCAAAATTCAGATCTCTTTTTCCTAGAACTGCTTTGAATCCTAGTTGACTTAATGGCACCTAACAACAATTGAGAAGAATGGAAATCCCAGAACACTTAGTTATACTTGTGTGAAACTTACACCTAGACTGAGAGGTTGCTGTGTGAACAGAACAGGGGAATACTGCATGGGTAAAAATTAGAAAAGGTGTGTGTCAGGTTTATCCTCTCCCTACATATTTGTGTGTATGCTGAGCAAATTGTTTTAGAAGCTGGACTCTGAAAAAGAATGGCATCAGGATTGGAGAAAGACTCATTAATAACCTAAGTCATGCAGATGTCAGCCTTACTGAAAGGGAGGAGGACTGAAGTACTTGCTGTAGAAGATCAAAGAATACAGCCTTTAGAATGGATTGTATCTCAACTTTGAGAACAAAACTCTCACTACTGAACCAATAAGAACATGATAGATGGAGACAATAATAAGACAGCAACCTTATCTTACTTGGAGCCACTTAATACTAGTAGTCAGGAGATTCTTTTTCAAGATCAGACAAGGCCAGGGGCATTCAGGGTGGTATGGCCGTAGGCAGGCCTTGGTCTTTTATTTTTTTTTATTTTGTGTGTGTGTACTGTCACATCAGATCTGACTGGTACAGGAGGAGATTGCCCCTCCTTCTCCAGCAGAGCATCTGGTGGATTTGAACCACAGACCTCTGGAATTGCAGTACAACTTCTTGCCACTAGGCCACCAGAGCTCCCTTAAGCCTTGGTCTTTCCAGTCACTTGCTATGCATTAGAGAGCTGGAACTCTAAATAAGAATGACAAAAGAGTTTCAGTGCAACTTTATTTGTTCATCCTGTATCTGGGTTCATCTGACACCAGCCACCTCCACAATGCCGCCCAAGTTTGAACCCAACAAGATCAAAGTCATGTACCTGATGTGGGGAAGTCAGTGTCATGTCCATTCTGACCCCCAAGATCAGCCCTCTGGGTCTGTCTCCAAAAAAATGTCAGTGATGACTTGCCAAAGCCACCAGTGATTGGAAGGGACTCAGGGTTACAGTGAAACTGACCATTCAGATCAGACAGGCCAAAATTGAAATGATCCCTTCTGCTTATGCCCTGATCATCAAAGCCCCAAAGGAACCACCCAGAGACAGGAAGAAGAAGAAAAATAGTAAACACAGTGGGAAGACCACTTTTGATAAGACTGTTGGCATTGTCCAGCAGATGCGACACCGGACTCTAGCCAGAGGACTCTCTGAGCCTATTAAAGAGATCCTGGGAACTGGCCAGTCTTTGGGCTGCAATGCTGATGGCCACCACCCTCATAATGGCCTGGAAGACATCAATAGGAAGGCTGTGGAATGCTCAGCTAGCTAAGAAATACAGATGAAAATATTTGAATAAAGGATCATTTGTTTTTTAAAAAAATGACAAAAGAAGAATTGATGCCTTTGAGCTGTGGGGAAGAGTACTGAACATCCCACAGACTGCCAAATCAACAAGCAGATACATTTTGGAGAAGGTGCAGCCAGGGTGCTCTTTGGAAGCAAAGGTAGCAAAACTTCATCTCACATACTTTGGGCATGTTCTTAGGAGAGGGACATCGTGCTTGAAAAGGAAGAAGGGGGGCAGCAATAGAGGAAAACTTTCAGCCAGGGGAGTGACTGACTTCAGAAGGGGTTCAAGTGTACCAGAGGTGTTGAGAATGACACAGGATGATAGGTCAGGGTTCAGATCTGTTGTTCGTAGGGTTTCTGT